CAGGAATACTTTTGAACAGATGTGTGTGTGTGTGTGTGTGTGTGTGTGTGTGTGTGTGTGTGTGTGTGTGTGTGTGTGTGTGTGTGTGTGTGTGTGTGCACATGATTCCACTTTTAAAAGCACATACACAGCATAAGCAAATGGATGAGTAAATATATCCATACAAAATAAATCATGATTAGTATCCGAACATGATTAATTAATTTTTAATATTCTATATTCTTTTAATAACTCACTCAATAGCACAAATAATTACCCTGGACGTATTTTTTCTTTCATTTCTTTTTAACCTGCCAATCAATTTATAAATTAATTATAAAATTTATGTGTTTCATATTTCAATTCAAGGTCTTAAAATAATGAGATTTTAAAATATTGAGTTTTTAGAATACTGTGATTCTGATTTTTATGGGAAGAGCAGCTACTCGGAATTTCAATCCTTATTAAAAAAATGTCATTAGGCTTTACTTTGGTCAAATAACACATTAACTAATTAATACAATGATTCAAGTGTCCTCTTTTAAGTATTTAAAAGTGAATTTGACAAAATTATATTACCTAATTAAAGTTTTAATTTTGCAATCTTTATGAAAGTGTTTATGTGTTTGTATGCGTATGGTTATTAGAGAGACACGCATAAAAACACATGTATGTTGAAGATAAGGTATCGTGAATCTTTTACAAACAAGTCGAGAAGAGACCACGTGAATATAACGACATACGAAGCTTATCACAACGGGAGATAGCATGTAGACATGTAAAAGGAAATGGAGTCAAAATTGTAAAATAAGCTATCGCATTGTAGGACGTCTGTTACGTATTAAGGAGATCGTGCAAGTTCTTAGATATTTGATAGTCAAGCAAAGCTGAGCATCAATGGTTTACAAGAAGATCATAGAATCGCCATCAAGCAAGCGAATGAAAATATACTAAGTAATGATCAATTCAGAGAATGAAGTTGAAATTAAACTCACACAGGTGAAAAAATAGGAAGATAATAGGTGAATATTTAATCTTCAGAGACTGGGGATTTGAAACAAAAATTAAAATGTTGATACGAATGGAAAATATTTTTATAGTAACTTATATATAAAAATGATGTAGATTTTTTTTCAGTTTCATGTTGCCAACTCCTTACTGATATAATTTAAAAAAAATGTTTTTCTAAAATTCAATTCGGTAGATACAAATAAGTTGTGAGAGACAAATGTGGGCAAGCGCACACACACAAACACAAACACACACAAACACACACGGACGCACGCACGCACGCACACACACACACACACACACACACACACACACACACACACACACACACACACACACACACACACATATATATATATATATATATATATATACATATGCATGTAAATGGTTGTGTAATGTGTAACCTTGTGTTTATAGATGGTCTTAAAATTTAAATATTGAATAAACTGTGATATAGTTAGATATGGAAGAAAACTCCAACAGACACACGCACACGCGAATGCGTATGTGTGTGTTTGTGTGTGTGTGTGAGAGAGGGAGATATATAGAGAGAGATTGCGCGTGTTTATATATATATATATATATATATATATATATATATGAAGTGACATATCTAGCGAAAAATGACTGGATATGCAGAGACTAATATATATATATATATATATATAACTATATGCAGAGACATAGATAGATAGATAGATAGATAGATAGATAGATAGATAGATAGATAGATAGATAGATAGATAGATAAACACTTACTCATACAAACAGATATACACTTTATATATATATAAAGAGAGAGAGAGAAGAGAGAGAGAGAGAGGAACAGTGAGAGATAGAGGGGAAGGTGAAAGCGAGTATGGTAACCAAATTTAAAATGTAAATATTTAATTCACTGGCATTGGAAGAATACATCTATACACACACACAAATATATATATATACTATCTGTGTGTATGAGTGTGTAAAGACTAAAGAACTTCACTGAAATATAAGTATATATGGTTAGATATGACCTTATTATTTAAATGAACAAACGCACAGATATGTATATGAAGCGGCATAGTGAACATATTGTTAGATAGAAAGCAGCTGAGATAGACATGAACACACACATATATAAACAGGCAAAAAATTAGTGAGCATACTGACATACACGCACACACACACACACACATATATATATATATATATATATATATACATAAAGTGAGAGAGAGAGATAGAGAGAGAGATGTAGTTGCCGATGACGTTTTTGTCCGACGGAAAGTCACTTATAAATGTTAAGAAAACTCAGTACATGAATGAATACCATTATTTTTTATTCCGTTAATATCTCCATTGTTTTTTTTATAAGGTAAATAATTTTTAAAAGCCTTCTATTCATACAAAAGAAATTTATTTGTTTCGACGAAACTTGAGAAACATTCTCAGAAGAATATTCAACGGATATGAAATACGCTATAATCATTTAAAAAAAAAATTAATACACTTTCTATACGAACTG